CCCCCCCCCCCCAATCATTTTTAACGAAAAAAAACTCGGTTGGAGCAAAAAATTATAGATTCTCGGTTCCACATCATATCTAAGGCGTTATCTCGTAGTGGGTTGCTCGTTTCGGCTCCAAATCACAAAATCTTCAACTTTCCAAAAAATTAAAATTGAGGTATTCCGACTTATTTTTTGTTAAAACTCATGTATAAAAAATGCCTATTAGTTATTTTTTACTGTGTTCTATATTATTTTCATGATTGTTTTGTGATTAAATTAATTTATTTTTTTATCCGGATTAGATTATTTATGTGCTAAAAGATTAGTAAAATAGATAAATTATTATTTTAGGAATAATTAATCTTATTTAGATGTTATTGTTGTACATATATGAATATGTGACTTTAATATTGTTTAATTCCCTGTAATATTATGTTGTGCCCGTAATTTTAATGTAATACTCGTATTTGTAATGTAGTGCCCTTTTAGCGTGGAATCTTTGTAGTTATTGAAATTAATCATTTAATTATCTGTTAAACCCAAAAATATCTGAAAAAACTGATAGTTCAAACACAAACTCTCTCGGATTCTAGTCAACAAATGTATGAAAATAACATTAGAAAACAATAATATTTGTCAAACTAAGTATTGTTATATGAATATTTAATAATTAAATCTTGTATAGTTATGAAAATTAATTATTTAATTTTATTATAGTAAAAAATAGGTGAGTAACAAACAAACATATAAAATAATAAACTAACATATAAAATAAGAAACAAATATATAAAATAATAAACTAACATATAAAATAATAAACTAATATATAAATTAAGAAACAAATATATAAAATAATAAACTAACATATAAAATAAGAAACTAACATATTAAATAATAAACAAACATATAAAATAGTAAACTAACATATAAAATAATAAAGTAACATATAAAATAATAAACTAACATATAAAATGATAAACCAACATATAAAATATAAAATTATAATATAGAAAATGTATCAACCTAATTAACAATATAGTAAAAATATAGAATAAATTTTAATATTAAACATATTGCAATATATTTAAAGATGTTAAGCAATTAAAAAGAAAAATACTTTAATTAATATTGTTCAACTTATAGTAGTAGTCATGGAGGTTCCGCCTGTGCATCCCGGACCTGCATCGCTAGAGCTACTGTTGCTACAGGCCGTGCGTAGGTCTTCATACATATGAGAGGGGCAGTGTTTGTCCCAGACATTCCGCGCTAGACGGATAGACGATATGTGGGAGTTCATTAGAGCCCACCCACTCCATCCCCGTATAGTTAGACGCCTTCAGGATACGTATTTCTACAGGATCATAGAGATCGGCCGGTTGCAGTTCGACCGGGGGTTGATCACGGCTATGATAGAGCGGTGGCGACCGGAGACGCACATGTTTCATTTACCCATCGGCGAGTCTATCATCATGCTTCAGGACGTGGAGGTTCTTTTTGGGCTGCCGGTTAATGGATTACCTGTAGCTTTACCGCATGTTGTTATAGAATATACGGGATTGGATTACCTGCAGATGTTGCAGCAGCGCACTGGTTTCCAGCCAGTGGAGGAGACTGCATTGAGTGGGTCCAGACATTTGCAGTTGATGCCCGTCCGGCAGCATCTGGAGGCGATAGATGCGGACATTGCGGATGATACACCAGATCTTCTTATCGATAGGTACACGATATTGGTGATGATGCTGATGTTTGGTGGTGTATTATTCCCGAACACTTCGGAAAACCTAGTCAGCTTGAGATTTCTTCATCATCTTGAGCGGCTAGATGATTTACCTAGTTACAGCTGGGGTGTAGCTGTTCTAGGTTACCTTTATAGGCATATGTGCCGGACGAGCATAGGCACCCAAAGAGACATTGCCGGATTTTTGCCGTTGCTGCAGGTGAAAACATAGTCGATTCTTTTCATGATTATAACATACATAGTAAAATAATAACATAAATTTTACGTCCTCAATGTATATTAGGTTTGGGCCTGGGAGCAGTTCCTGCAGTTGCAACTAGGGGTGTCAATGGTTCGGTTCGGTCGGCTATTTTATAAAATTTATACCATACCAATTTTTCGATTATTCTATTATGTATAACTAAAATTAGACTTTTCGAAACCGTCCCAATTATGTCGATTTCTCTTCGGTATCGGTACGGTTCGGTTAATTTTCGGTATTTTTTTAAATATCATGTAAAATTTACCAGTAGAAGTACAATGCAATAACATACGTTCTTTTGTAGGACTTAGCAAAACTTTCTAGACATTTTTACTGTTTAAAGGGTGATGAATTAAAAAAAATAAAAGATGACTAGAGTATATATCCATCAACTATTCTACAACAACGTAAAAGAAACCAAGCAAAGGCAGAAAAAATATAAATCACACGAGTGGAATGATATTAACCAAACTGGGACTCAAGAATAAAGTACATAGAAGATTAAATATTCAAAAAGATAAATCTAAATTATATGAAAGGAAATATATTCAATACATTGTAGTTTGCTACTCATTATCGCTAGAATACTTTGTGTCTTGCTAATAAAGATACTTGGAATAACTTAGTTTAAGTAGATGTAGCATAATAGGTTTTAGGAATTAGTATTTTGAGTTTAATTACTTGTTGGCTTGTAATAGTTTTCATAATTCCAATGCCCAAAGAAAAATTTAATGCATTATTATTTTAAAACTTACTAGATAAATATATTTTTCACATGTAAAATTTATTCGGTACGATTTGATATTTTTTTAGTTTATTTTTATAAAATAAAAAATTTACCCTAATTATCAGTGCGGATATAGATTTATATAAAAACCTACGGTTTCTTAACAAGAAAAATAAAAATTAGTTCAGTACGGTACGGTTCGGTCAATTTAGTCGGTTTTCGAATATCCATTGACACCCCTAGTTCCAGCCACCTCTACCACCCATCGCTCCGGATGCACCACCTTCACCGTTTCTCCCTTTAGCTAGGAGGTGGGTTGATAGGCGAGGCTATGGACGCGAGGTCGAGGCTCTACATCATCTCCCCTATTATAGGGATTTGTTGGATTTGTTTGAAAGCGCGCAGGTATATGTATACTTACGTTTACTTGGCTTGGCCTTATATATATTGCGTTTACTCACGATTCCTGCTTTTACTTAATAGTTCATATGGACGAGCTAATAGCTGGTTTGCCCGATTACTGCTCGAGCGGCTGAGTTATATGGAGCTCTTCCGTCCCATTGATGTGTCTCGATATTGTCGAGCATCATGCCACTGAGCGAGTCCTTCGCCAGTTTGGTCAATCGCAGCTTGTACCTACTCCGCCCGCTTGGCTTAGGACATATTACCAGTGGGATAATCGTTCCAGGATTGACCAGACATACGTGGCTTGGCTAGAGGCGCAGATTGAGATTTGGGACCGTCGGTATGACCTGATTCCGTCACCCCCTCCACCTGAGCGTACAGATGGTGAGTATGAGTATATGGGCTGGTATCGTAGCGTTACCTGACTTTTCGTCGGGAATCCCACTCATCAAGCTGGTGGTTGGTACATTCCGTACCGAGATGAAATATGAGATATGTGTGTCAACTGGGGCCTAGATTACGATGCTCTCGGTCCCGAAGGGTACATACACGATGTTGACGAAGAAGATGAAGACAGTGACAATGAAATAGTACCAGACAGCGACGATAATGGC